AAAAATATAAAAAGCCTGCATTTACTTCTTTCACACTTTTGTAAATATGTTTGCAGACCTTTGGAAGGAAATGTACTCTACCACTTTGAGAAAAAAATAACAATGGAATCATTGTCTCATTTACCTATTAAAATTACAGGCAATATAATGTGCTGTGCTACATTTCTAGGAGAAATAAAGCAGATAAAAATGCATTTTGCTCAATGGTATCTTAGTTGGTTCTATGTGGTATTCTGCACCCACAGAAGAGCCGTAGGGCATGGATGAACTACCTGAATGTAACATTCCGTAGGAAGAGGTACTTCTTTTCTTTATCTGCACTAAGTATGGCCTCCGATGTTACAGAACTGTGATTACCAGATGTTTTGGTTATTGAAACATGCTGAAAACTGAAAAAAATAGAGGTCTAACTTGTAAACATGTTGCAGCCTTAGAGACACCACTGCACAGAAATACTGGGATTTCTGTTGCCATCTTCACTAAGAGCTGATAACTGAATTCCTAAGAAGCTGCCAAACATCATGGCATTCCTTTGATGTTTGGAAGTCGTTTTTTTCCCTGAGCTGTTGGTTTAAAATATTGGCCTTTGATCCCCCTTTTTCTCCTACTAGTGGATTGTTGCCGATGATCGCTCTTTAGTAAAAGCAAACATTAGATAATTTAATTATTGTTGTGAAAGTGTGCAGCCAAATAAATGAAATGAAAGGGAAATTCCCTGCAGAGGTTTTGTTATTTTTCATTCAAAGCCCTTGTTAGAATATCTGCTGAGGGAGTTCTGCTCTTTTTCTCAGTATATAAGCTAAGGGACATTAAATAACATCAGAAATCTCTTTTTTCATGTGAAATAATAACACTATAAGATTAAGACATCCTTTTGAGGTCTCCCAATAAATCTGAACAATTTGAAACACGGCTTTAACTTAAACGTTCCAATTCAGTTTAAGTCTGGCACATTCACACGTGTATATGTGGACCAAAACTGAGCAGCATTTGATGAGGCCTTCAAGAGGACTGCACAGCAGTGAGTTAACCTTCAGTTCTGCACAAAACGCCTTTTCTTTTAGGATCTCTTAAAGCCATCATACAATTGATTTCTTAGTTATAGATTCAGTAAAAACTTAACTTTGTGAAATAGGAAATTGTTAGAAAAAGGTAATGAACTTAAAACTGTCTGGTGGAAAATGTTTAGGTAAAAAAACGTTAAGAATCACCTAAAAAGAGTAGATTTTATGTGCAACCTGACTTCATTTCTTTTTGTTAATATTATGATTCTCAGTAATTCATATATATATGAAACTATCATTGCTTTAATAAGCTTTATTTTCTGAAAGGAAATTAAATATTGTATGGCAAGTAAATTGTGGATTAAAGCCAACTCTGAGCTTAATTTCCCTCACTATTGGGATGAATGGCAAATAGAAGAGCAAGAAATTTGTGCAAATCTTAAATGCTGTGCTTTTTTTTTTTTTTTTTTTTTTTCATTTGAAGATAAGAGTAACATCAGAGCAGTTAAAGCAGTGTATTTGTTTGTTACAGCGTATTTGCTTGTATACATATATGAATCTCTCTTTCCATGTGCTTACCTGCAGGCAGTACCCCAGCCAGTAGAGGAGCTTTCTAGAGGCAGAACCAAACAGGAAACGTTACACTTTTTCGTCATGCAGATTCAGTTCAAAGGTAGATATGGAGGTAACACTACTGCCTCATTCTGCATTTGGAAATATTACTGACCAGATGCTTAGCTGATTACATTTATTTTATTACCAGCTGAATTAGTATTTACCATAGTACCATTGAAATCAATGAAGCCCTGGCAGTTTACACCAGTTATAGACCTGCTCCTGGACCTTTAACGTTCATCATGGCTCATCTCACCTTCCTCTTTTGCGCATCTTCTCACACACATGAACATGCACTCGTAGAAATTAATACAGACTGCCTGATTTATGATCTCCATCTGGCACTAAAAATGTGCTTTAATGTGGGTTTCTAGTTAGTTGCATAGAAGTCCAATATTCAGAAAAAAAAAAAAAAGAGCCTTCTACACGTCTACGTGTAAAAACTCCTGCTAATTACATTGCTGCAAAGGAAAGGTCTGTAACACAGTTTGTAACATTAACATGCAATAAGAAATTTTGTGCTAAGAACTTTTAAATAATGAACATTCAGCCCTGTGTTTGATCCTCAGATCCATATGTTGATCTGTATGTCAAAAAATCAATGACATGTTACAGCAGTTGTAACTCTAATCTCTGTGCTTTTCTCTGCCTGATCAGTAGGGAAACAGGCACACAGCTGAGCCACAAGTGTGCTGTAAATTCAGGCCAGAAACAGTTGGATTTTCTCTGTCACCCGAATTATCCCATCTCAGTGTTAGCAACTTCAGGCATTCAACATTTATGAGATTCACTTTAGAATGGTGTGATTTAAATAAGAAATGTGGAGTTCTTAAGTCCGTATGGTTGGGCATTTAGTATTCAGGTTTTTAGCCACAGAGCTGTAGAAGTAACTTTTTCTAAAATGGCAGTTGATAATACTGGCAACTGGAGTTAATAATAATACTATGGCTAAATTAACAACAGGTTTGTGAAAGCTGAGCTTTGGGAGCCGAATTATTCATCTCTCTGTCCTTCTGCAAAGAGGAGCGCAAATGATCGGACATTCACATTTAACCACCAAACACTGAGCAGTTCTTTCCAAAATGATAAGTCACCATGGCATTGCAAGGTCAAACCTCAGCTGATGTTCTAAGGTACACTATCTTTCAGTGAGTCTTAAAATGTTGCTCCAAGCACCGTGTCTGTGTGGCCACATGGCTCTGGTACGAAGGACAGAAATCTTGAGGCTGCCACGCCCAGTACAAAATACTTGATATAAATTTTCCCTGGAAGAAAATGAGAGGTGGGGCAGAACTAATCTTCTGTCAGGAAGCAGTTTGGGAGAGTGAATGTGTAAGATGCCTATTTCATCCATTAATTTGTAAAAACGTCTTAGATAGTAGCATACAGTAATTAAAATTATATGAAAGGTTCTAAAAGTAATACATGGTTCATTTGTCTCCAAGTATATTTTCAGAAGTCATGCGATATTTTAATGATTGATGATTGTGATACGGTTGCAGTCTTGTTCTTATGCCTTTCACGAGATTAATACTGTGTAATGGTGACATCTGACTAAGCAGATAAATCCATTTACACACAGGTAAGTCTAGAGCAGTGTCAATGAACTGGAAACTTGAATCTTCTCAAAAAGAGGTAAGTAATATCCAAAACCAACTACTCTTGGACAGTTAGTGGCTGTTCTTATGTTAAACTCTGTACTGATTTTTTCTTTTGCATTCATCGATTTGCCTTAAATATAGTTTTTTCTCCCCAGTAACTGAAGTAAGTTTACCATGATACTTCTTCATAGAAGATGAAGATAATATGAGCCATTGTTTTCTACTCATGAATCATGACTTCGGTGGCCAAGATCTGAAAAAGTGATATAAGGAAAATAGTGAGACATGGGGTTTTTTTGTTATTTTTTTCTTCTTCTGTAGGTGCATTCTAGTATCTTGATTGTTTCAAGGCTCACACACACACACACACAAATATATATACAACCATAGCTGCCACAGCCAGAAGCCTTGTTGGGAATTTTCCTCTTTCCTTGTCCAGGAAGAAAGGATATAGTTAAAACCATAAAAGGAGACTTCTCCACAAATCCACAACTGTAACTTCGAGACCCATCAAGGAACTGAGAAAAATGCTTGCAAATTCTGCTCTGTTTGACAGGAGAAGGAACATAATATTCTCAAATTTAACTTAATATTGGTAATGTTTGTATATTTGGCATTCCATTAACTATATTCTAAAAAACATGAAATCTTTTTTCTCAAATACAGTATATCTTAAACCTAAAAGGGCTACTTAGTTATTAGAGCTTTGATTGTGTGGAAATAGTGCCTGTGACTTTCCCTTTATCCTACACTTCTCTTGGTTACACATTACAACTCAGTTCAGGGATTTTTTTTTTACTCTGTTTTTTTGAGTGCTTCAGTTTTAATTCATTCATTTGTCATTTATGCAAGAAGCACATTATTCAAATCCTTTCAGTTATGATTTATTTTCATTTTTTTTCTTACTTTCTTTTTTAAAAAATGTCTGTGATAAGCGCAATTTTATTGTTCTTGATGCCCTTCCTTATCATTGTAACTACTGTCTCACACAAATGCAAATATTTCAAATATTTTAAATGTCTCCTCAGACTGGAATTTTGGTTTATCTTGTTTCTGTCATAGTTGCGTACCCAGGGTTGTTCATAGATAATCTGTCAATGAATGTTGTGTTTGGGCGTAAACACTTTTCAGAACAGTTCTAGAGAAACTCCTCTATTGGCTTATGAAATTCCAGCCATGGAAGTTGTGGTATTCTGGATGGTGCTGGAAATCAGTCTGTTCTAGTATCTCTTGCTAACATGGCCAAGACCAGTCTGCTCATGAGTAGGAAGAGCTCCCTCAGATGACGATAGACAAGTTCTGGGAAGTTCACACCATCACTGAATTATCATCATGCACATGCCAGATGGTAATTTGTCCTTTGAAAGTTGCTGGAGGTACACTTTCACAGACAAAAGCAAACCAAGACCTGAGGCAAGCATATGCCTCCAGGAATAAGTAGTGACTTGTAATGTCTGCTGTTTGTTAAAGGGTTTATAGCTCGTGGCCATGCTTCAGACAAGTGTTGATGTATTTTCACTAGCTGTGCAGACATGAAGACCTCTGTTCTGAAGCAGGGTTTGTCACTGTGGCCATGATGGTGCTGCTGAGCCAAGATCACGCTGACCCCACTGCAGTAAACAGCAAATTTTCTTCTGATTGCACCTGAGAAAGATGTGTCCCTTCCATTGTGGGAGGGAATGAGCTACAGGTGTGAAACATCAAACTTAATTTGATTTTTTTAAACTATTTATTTATTTATTTATTTTTAGAGCGCAGAAGGATGGCTTTATAGCTTGGATTCTGGTATGGGAGGTGTTTTTGCTATAGATTTTTGGCTGGATATAGAAGATTATCAAGGATTAAATTCTTCCTCCCTAGATTTAACTACCAATATCAAGTGCGTAGTATAGGGAAGCTGACTCGACCTTACATGAAGTTAATTAGAGGAAAAATTTTCATGCTCTACAGGTGCATGTAGGGGGAACCAAAAGTTGCTGAATTAAAAGCAATCTTTTCTTTCCTTCAGGTGTGTTTAACTATGAGACCCTGAAATCTTGTTAGGAGATAAAGAACTCTCTCCTATTTTTTTGTTGTTGTTGTTGTTGTTTTAATGTATACATATGCAATTTATATATATACACATATATATATATATAGTTGTATAGATCAGAATAATAGCTTTTTATACCCGCTGTTTATTTTATTACTACAGTGTCTATGGCTGAGGGAATAAGACCAGCAGTGATAAGAATGAAATAGCAAAGGCTCTGAAGCAGCATGAAGCAATGAACAATCCTCACTTTGAAAACCTTATAGTGAAGAAGCTTTCCAATGGTAAGCATAGTTACAACTGGAGCTGGTTGCCTGTGGCAGTTGTAGCACAGAAGGCATTTCAGAGCAGATTCTGCCTTGAGATGGGTAGGCGAGCTGAAGATTCTTGTCTTATTTCTTCCACTTCTCTAAATAGCTCTAGGATTAGAACAAGCTTAATAGCTAAGACATTGATATATAGTTTACAAGAATTGTTAGTTCCATGTTATTTTATTCTGTGCAATGTTACTTGGTGAGCAGTGAGCTCACTCAGTAGTGAGTTAGCAAAGTGGAACTGAAGAAGAACAGAGAAATGCCACAGAAAGGTGGGCAAAGAGAGGGAAAGAAAATTGATGCTCAGCCCATTAGAGGTTAATTTTGGAGATCAAAGCATTACTGAGCAGGCTGGCACACCAGTAGAAATGAAGTTGTTGTTGCACTTTGTGAGGCTGATTTTCACTAATTTGGGCTTTTTTGATCAGCTAGAATAATGGTTCTTCTCTCAAGATAGCATGGGTTTAGCTGCATTTAACATGCATTATCTACACCTATCAAAAATACTTCTTGTGCAGTGGGGTTCTTTTTTATGTGGTAGGGATTCCTCTTCTAGTTTTGAGTGTGTTTGTAGACTTCGTGTCTTTGCCTAAGGACTATAAGAGGTGGTAGGAACAGAAAGAGAGCTTATATGTGAAAAGGATACAGCTTGGAGTTTCAAAAACTGACCGAAAGTGTTGAGGTTTGATTAATTGTAAGCAGCGCGAAAAGATATTTGTCAGCTTAGCAGCCTCTGGTTATAATGTCACAGCAGCACTATCTTAACCTGTGTTGAACACAAAGATGTACAGCAGACAGATCAATGTCAAGCACTTGAAGAGCTTGAGTACTGAATATGAGTATTTTTAGACTTGTGTGTGATTTCTGACATCTGTTTGGCAAGCACCTAAGACTGTAAAGTTTATAAAAACATGCTTTAGAGCTATACTTTATTTAAATTATTGTAAAATTATTAAACTGGAGAGAGGACTGATTATTGCCCTGTACATCATTAATATTTTGAAGATAACTATGCTAAGTGTGATGGTTGGTGTCTAGGAGTTCCATAAATGCTGCAGCTGCATTTGCTCAAACCTCTGATCCTCATCTTCAGAGTTGCAATCAGATTAACTGAAAAACAATGAGAACAAACCAGATAAAACTGATTGCAATATTTGCTACACACTGAGGTCAGAGAGGTGTAAAAGCTGATAGTTATTGACGGCTTCATTGACTATGAAACTACTGAACATTATCCATTTAGGAAAGAGATCAATACGAAAAGCATCAGCTAATGGAGACTACCTGTGGTGCAATCACAGAGTGTACACCCATTCTGTTTTCTGCGAGCTTCTGTAAAACCAGTTTGTCAGAAAGATCAGAGGTAACAGCTAGAAAGTTTCAGGAAACAGCTGTGAGTATTCATGAGACTCATTGAAACTGGTATCTTCCAGAGGCTCTTTATTTAAAGAGTTTGCCCAGATTTGCCATCCAGTTAACTGAGGTGCAGAATGTGATTTATGGTAGAATTGTTTGGATTAAGGATCGATACAATGAGATTTCACATCTCTTTAGGAAAAAAAAAAAAAACTTTTTTGCTGCTGTGATTGGAATTTACCTGTGTGTTCCCACCATCAGTCATATGTATGTGACATTTTGTGAGCAATGGAAAGGAGTTTGGGCAACACACTTTCTTGCATGATATCTTTGTTGGCTTTCAGAGAGTTAATGAAGGGCACCTCTAGGAAATGGCAGCTATCTTGGCTATATCCCTGTTGAGAGGACTTTTCTTCCTGGCTACTTTTCAGTTTGTTACCACAATTAGATTTGCATTACTATCTACTTTCTTTCTCTTGACAATCTCTTAGGTATATGATAATGGAACGTTCTTGTTCAAATTTTGGATGCAAAATATCTTTGCCTTTTTTGTGTTATTGACAGCACAAACCTAGGGGATGTTATTGGGCTGTTACACAAATACAGTTCAAGTTGACTATTGCAGGCCACACTGCAGTACAATAGAATACAATAAAACAATCAATCATATGTAGACCATAAACTCTGCGGTCTCCGTAGCCCCTCAGTCTGCCTCAGCAGTGCTAAAGACTCACTAGGACATCATGAAAGGTTATCGAAGGCAGCACTGCCACTGGAAAGCACTTTTTTCTGCAGGCTGCTGAGGACTAACGGTCACAGATGAATTCATCAGGGGCATTTCCACATGGCATCCACAGCCATCAGAAAGGCAGCAGCAGGGAACAGCTGAGGAGCTTATTTCAGATTCTTTCACAGTTATGATGGTCCGTGGTCTTATGTGCTGTGGAAATAGAAACAGTGATTTAAATCTTGGTAAAATCTTAAAGAAAAACAAGCAGACATTTTCAATTTCTATCTGAGCTGTTGGCTTGCTGCTGACCACTGCTTACAGATATTACAGCAGAACTGCTGTGGTTTTGCTGCGCACTTGGTGACAGTGGCCGGAGCGCTCAGGTGCTCACTGCCAAAGTAGAGCACATGCAGCTGATTCCTCAGCCTCATCTTTCCCATGGTCTGCGATCAATCCATAACCCTAGGTAGGTGCTGAGCTTGTCTCCTGAGTATTCATTCTGGGTTTGTGTCTGTACAGTCAGAGCCTTTATGTGGGCAGAGAAAAATGATTCTACTATTAAGAGCTGAACTTGGAATTTGCAAACAGCAAAATTTTGGCACCCTCTGAAGTAAACCATGTAAGGTTGGCTGTGTTTATTCTTGAATGTAGGGTTTTTAAGATGGGATTAACTAAAGATAGCTGTACAGAAGAAAAGTCTTATTAGAAGTCAGGGAAATAAATTCTGTAATAATTTAATCATTTCTGTATTTGTTTTAAAATATTAATTTTTCAATTTTAATATTTCTTCTGGTCAAATTTAGCCTGAAATTTAAGTAATATCTACATAAAAATGGTGTGCATATATATATATATATTTGTGATTATTGTAAACTATATTGCAGATGTTCTGACTGAAACTGTTTAACTTGGTATGTCTTCAGTGAGTAATAGGAAAGGAAGAACAGCAATAAAATGTTGAGTCCTGTAATCCACACAGCCTCAGATGCCTGCTAGCAGGGCATGGTCTCCAGCATCTACAAGCTCTTCCAGTTGCAATGTGAACAAGTAGTAACCTCAGAGTTGCTTTGAATTAAATTAGCAATAATGTCTCTGCAGCACCATGGTCCATCTGAGGTGGGCAGGGATGGAGGGGGGACAGAGTACCCCACTTTTTTCGTTGTCTTTCTTCCATCTGTGCAGGATGGAGCAGAGACAGAATGGCACAAACTCATTTCACCTGTATCAGTGATCCCTCTTGCTTTCCTTTGAGAGGTTTGTAGCTTGTGCCCAGTTAGGCAAGAGTTAAAATTAGCAATTAGAAACACTAACATTCTAGTTTAGAAAGCGGAGGCATACTGGAATCATCCAGAGCAGACAGCAGGGTCAACGGCAGACGTGGTCTGTAAATTGACTCTGTCTGGTGTGAGCAAACTAGGTAACTGCTGATTAGGCAGGTCCTGTGATGTGCCTTTTGTGAAAACAAATTCAGGCTGTAGCCTTCCGCACACAGTACAGCTGATGATGAGTTGTTAGTTAAAGGTCTGAGAAAGCAGCTTTCAGACGCTGGGCTTGTCAGGAAAAAAAAAAAAAAAAAAAAACCAGCAGGAGAGGACACAAGTAATGAAAACAAATGTACACAGAGAGCTGGATGGGTAACACAAGTGCAGAGGTCAACGGCGTGATGTGCCCTGAAGTGTGTGGCAGGAAACTGTGTAAAGTTAAAGCTGACCTGGGACACTGGAATAGTTTCCATGTGTTTATTACTTGCTGTGCTCGGGTCTTGATAGGGCAGACATTATTGGTTATGCTTTTCTTCCCCCATGCAGGGTGTCACAGTTTGAAGTTACTTCCTATCGCTGGAGAAAGCTTGTAAAATTGTAGTGGCAGGTACAGGTGGTAGCTTTGCTGGGGGAGGCTGAAGTGTTTGAACGTGTGCCATCGCCAGCCAGGTCAGCAGCAGGGTGGTGGTGGTGAGGAGAGCTGTTCAGGCCTGAGTGACTGCAGAACCTTTTCCTTTCATTCAGCACGAAGGTGGCTTTTGACAGCTCTTAATGAATCCCTCCTCTTATAAATGAGTAGCAGGAAAGAGAACCTTCACATTGCTGTTGACAACAGTTTTTTCATGGGTGTTGTGAAGAAGTCTGATATCACAGAATGGCTTGGGCATGGTTGCACCCTCCAGGCTGCCTGGGGCCCCATCCGAGCTGGCCTTGAGCACCTCCAGGGATGGGGCACCTACAGCTATCTGGGCACCTGTGCATTTTCATCAGGTCTCATTTCTATCTGTCTCATGTTCACAATTCACAAAATTACTGAGAATTTCGAAGCCATCTTATGGATTTGCAGGTTTTAAATAATTTTCTGACTGGGAGATTGGGCTTGAATAATAGAAGGAAATAAAAGGGAAGGAACTTGTTGATTTAATTCTTGTGAGTGTGAGACTTCAGTCTAGCATTAGGAATAATTCTGATTGTTTTTTTGATTACAGTTTACTCAAAGACAAGTAATTACAAATTTTACAGAAACAAACAAAAAAACCCAGGAACTCAAGGCAAATTATTATAATTATTAATTGATTACTCTACAAAAGGCAGCTGCTGTAACTTTACATGCACGTCCAGTATCAGCTGCTCATCTAATAAGCTTTGGAAAACCAGCTCTGACAACTTCAAGAAATACAGAAGCATGGCAAAAAGTGGCATTGATATTTCAGTAAGTGACATTCTCTCTGAGTCAGCGGAACAAAATGCTGTGGAAGCATTGGAGGCCCTAGGAGGCACCACTTCTAAATAAGGCTGAGAGCCAAGACCCAACATCTCATTAAGAGTGAGAGGCTCTCCGGCGCACAGATGATAAATATGTATATGTGCTTATAGACTGCACAGAGCCCTAACTAGCAGTGGGGAAAGACAGCAACGTTTCTTTTTCTTTGCAGAACATGTGAGCTTAATAAATGCTATTGGATATTTCTGCAGTGGTAGCTCTAAACAAAGTATTTTGGATCTCTTAAATCGGAGTCCTGTTGTAGCATCCGACCTTCCTCCATAGAAGTTCTCTGCACGCTCTTGCTCCAGTTGAGTGTAAGGCTTGTATTTTTTTATCATCTTGTGCCAGGAAGTCATGGATTTTGCCAACCTTGCAGTGAAGCCTCTAACCAAGATGTCACTTCTGGTGGTCTGGGTGTCTTGCTGCCAACCGCAGAATTCTGAAAAAGAGTTCATGTTCAGATTTAGACAAGGAGGAATCATAGGCTGGAATTAAAACTGCATTTCCCATTTGGCTTTGTTCTGATCCACGATTGTTCTCACAGTACAGTTAAAAATAAAATGACCTCTTTCTTTTTCTAGCTGCTGTCAAAATTGTCATTCCCCACCAGATGCCCTAAGTTCCTACTGCTCCCCGCTGGTACTGCTGCCCCTGTTGTCTCTCCGTCCAAAGAGTTTCAGAACAAGAGACAAGCTTTTATGGAGCCTGGCAAAGCTTCAGAAGGGAAAAGGAAAAATCGATACTGCTTCAAAGCCAAGTATTTGCTTCAGTGAATATGACATTTGCCCTTTCTTCACTAGGGGGAAAAACAACAAGGACACTTAGGCCGGCAATGGAAATAGAATGAACAACAGAGAGACCTTCCAGATTTGACATGTAAAGGGAAATAACTTTGTAGTTATTGTCCCTGTTTGGTGACATCAAAAACAGGTGTAGAGTGTAAGGCGGTGCAGGCTGAGAATGAAGTGGAAAGTAACACAAAGTCAAAGAGAAGAGTTGAAGGAATTTGGAACAAGTGATAATGGACTTGGCTGAAAAGATGGAGAATGAAAGACACTGCGCAAAGGTGAAGTCCATTGTTGTACAATCAAATTAACTATTAAATGTCAGCTGCAAAGGTGCGCCATAATATTAAAAGGACCTTCCAGTAAGTTTTACACCATTTTGACAGCTTTACAGCTACTGAAAATGTCCATAGAACCTCACAGTTTGCTAATGAAAGGCCTCTCCGTAAGGATGAAGCAGTTCAGAAACTTTGAAAGAGAAGCTGGGAATACCAATTAAAGAAATGCAAAATCAAAACAAGCTTGAAAAACACTCATATTTTTGGAGGATTAAAAAAGAATTAAACTACATATAAGCCTTAGAAGCCTGCTCTAATTCTTTTTGACATCCAGGTTTTCATTAATTTAATTCTACAGCTGGTTATAACTCCCTGATTCCATTCTATTTTGACTATGCCAATCCTAAGCTAGTTTTCCAAGTTGTGTTTTTAGATGTTTCTAATTTGTGTCATTCACTATATGGAATTTTATGGACCTGTTTGCTACTGAAATAAGATTCGTCATTTAAATGTTGTGTCATTGCTCAAAAATATTTTTTTCCTTATGTGAAGCTGTGCCTTCAGCTGCTACCAGCAGGGTTAATTTGCAGCACCTAAAATCCCTGCTGAGTGGGTCAGCTGCTGCTGTTGCAGTCAGGAAACGGAGCAGGCATCATCCTTGGTGAATCAAATAGCATGACTTCTGAGGAGCATAGGTGTAGTGCAGCAGGACAGTCATGTACTCATACTCTGACCCCTGTACTGCTGCTGGGTGAGAGTTCTGCAGCTACAGAATCAATAAAAATGTATTGATTTCTCTGTACTGTCATAAAGCTTGTCTGCTCTCATCTCCAGTTTGCAAGCAGAAGGAGAAGACTGTAAAACTACAATTGTCTTAGGCTTTCTTTCACCTCCTCCATTCCATGCTCGTTACTCCAGAGACCAAGATCTGTTTCTGACATGCTGCCCCAGCTGCTCTATTAGCATCCCACTCTTTTAACACTTTGTGTTGGAAAAATAGCTGGTTTTGAAACCAAGTGCAGGGGGATTGCCTTAAAGACTAAAGGTGAGTGACTTCTCTGGAGCTTAACACATCCCACTGCATGCAGAAAAGGGTAGCCAAGGACAGATAATGTGATGAGGAGTTCATTGTCTCTTTAGGTATTGCAGGTTCCCTTAAGGTTTATTTTCTAGGCAGTTTCAGATCCCTTTGAAACTGATGTTTTCTGTTCTTGGAGGAAGGTGTGTAGTGATCATTGATATGAAGAATGTAGGAATGTCCTCCATTGCTGGTAAATAATATTTAACTTCATAGCAACTGTCACCTAAAACCGTATCTGTCAAAAGGCAGCTGTGCAGATATGTGCAATTCGTGTTCATGCAGATTATTTGGGAAGCTTGGCTTCAAGCTTCTGGGATAGATGCAACAATTTGTCAGTTGTATAATCAATTGATTAAATCCCAAAGTCCTGATAAAATGCAGAATGCAGTCATGGAACGAACAGGCTGGAAAAGATTCACCTAAAAGACAGAAGTACAAGACCCCTGCACATTGTTGAGTACAGTTTGATATTTCCATGATTTCACTGCCTGACCTGCAGTATCACTAAACAATATTTATAATATAATATCTGTAATGTTAGAATATTACAGATCAACAACAACAAAAAAGCATCAAAGGGGTGCGTCTTGCAGCATTTAAAAGCATCAGCCTTGGATCCTTTTGTTTCTATGGAGAATGAGGACTTTGACACTCAATTGTTTCTATCGATAAGGTCCCCAGCTGCACCAATTTTGATAGAAATATTTGCAGAGCAGCAGAGTACATACACACGTGACCAGTGGTCACATGTGAGTGATACACACACGTGACTACTGGTCAAATGACCGACTGTGCCTCTATCATTGTCAATATTTAAATTATGTGTTACTTAATGTAAGATAATTGTGGCACACAAAGTAGGCAGTGCTTTCTCCTCTACCAGCTGAAGGGCAAGGCAGACCTGCTGACAAGTAGGAAAATCCAGGTTTATCAGCCCTACTGCTTTAGTGACTTTCCTTGTATTGATGCTTCAATCAAATAATGCTAACAATGTGATGTTTTAAATGTATGCTGTTGGGCTGTTTTATGCAGGATGTTGAGTCAGACTCACACATAGTGTTATTACTGAGGTCTGCAACTGCAGACCCAGAGAAGGAAAAGGGAAAATTCCTTTGTGAGCAGTTAGGAAGGAAATATAGGTGGGTCCCTAGAAGGGTGTTCTCTGGGGGATCTTTGCAGATCGGCTGGCAGTGAGAATGAAGAGAAAAATAAGAATGTCTTTGGCATGTTTTTCCAGAATATATTGTATGGTTTTGTTGGTACTTTTTTTTTTTTTCTTCCTAGTGGGATCATATCAAAATCCCTATTGGATTTTCCTGTTAGTGGTATAATTACACTAGAGCATGGTAGCAAGATAAAGTATTGTGCGTTGGTCACTAATGTGCTGGTATATTTTCTGATAATATTTCAGTATTCAGTTGACTTGTGCATTATGCTTAATTGTTTTTAACATAAAGTAACATATACAATAGGAGGTAAGAAAAGGTTGGGGAAAAGACGTGATCTCTTTATCCTGGCAGTTGGTTCCCACAAGAACCTGCTCTAACAACATTATTGGGGCTTGCAGGTGCAAGGCCCTGTGAACAATAAAGAAAGGTGTGAAAACAAGGGGAAAACACTGCCTCAGCAGCTGTTGTGAAAGAATGGAGAGCTGCAAATAACAGCCCCTCTGTGCTGCTAAGGTTGAAGAGCAGAAGTACCAAGGCACAGCACAACAGCCCACACTCAGTTCCAGGTGAGGCAGATGTGATCTTGTTGTGTTCAGTATCTCATCTGTGCCCTAGACTTGAGCATAGCCCTGCAATGGAATAGGTCAACATAGCTTTTACATCAAGATGTACGTGCAAGCCACTATATGTTTGGGGCAGGCTTTTTAAAACAGTGTTTATAAAAAGAAAAGGAATACAATCCTTCCCAAATAAACGGACACAAACTCACATTTCTTCCCTCTCTTCCATGCAGATATCAGGATTCTGTAGCCTGCAGATAGAGTCATGCTGGCATACATAGAATATAGCCCAATCAAGCTGGTGAAACAACCCAGATTTTAGAGATGAAGATCTCTAAACTGGGAGAGTTCTGCTGCTGACCTGCAGACTGTTAAAGCCCATGACTGTTTGCTCCAGCACTGCAGTTGCTATGGCAATTCATATAGACAAAAGCAGTAACCTTTCAGGTTACAACCAGGTAAAAAACTAGGACTTAAAATATACTCAGAAACAAACAGGAAACTGATATAGCTGCTAAAGGATCGATATTCTGTATTCTCTGTGTCTAATACCATTTCACAGCCAGGCAGCTGCATTCTGTATGAGCTGCACATTCCCAGTTCCTTTGAACAGTTGCACCATATAGAGCACGTAACAGCAACACTGACTTTGTAAAAAAAACAAAACAAAACAAAAACTCTTGTAAAGAAACTGGAAAAAGAAACAAATGTCCAAGCAGGCAATGGCTACTTGGATCCTTAAAAATGTAATTTTGACGCAGTCTGAGTCCAGACTCTGTTGGGATAAGAAGAAGAAAATCAAACACCTGCAAATGACAAATCTTCACAACAGGAGGGAGAAAATCATGTGAGTATGATGGGATCGGATGTGTTTTAAGATAGCAGGCTGGGCCTCATGTTTCCATTTAATTAGTGAATACATCTTGCTCATGCTCTTGAGACGATGGCACCTTAAACTGCATTTAAAATATGCTTCTCCGAAGAAGTGGAATTAGAAAAGACAACAGGGTTGTGAGCAGCTACTTTTATACAAGCACATAATCTTAGTTTTGTCATCTCCAATAATGAAGCCAGTGATATAAATGAGAGATCTAATGAATGGAGGCCACAGATTAATCACACTATGGCTCTGGTACATTGCTTACAAACATCATTACAAAGTGCAAAATATCACACCAGAAAAACAGATAAACGTATCTGAATCTTCTTCTCTAAGTAGGATTTTCAATCCCTGAGTTCTTTTTCCTCACGTATGCAAAAGGGGACTCAAATGGGTTACAAAGATGTACTCAGCTCCTTTTCCCACCAAGCAGTTCATAGGTCTTTGAGGCTAACAAAACCAGAAATGCTGCAACAGCAGAACTGTGGCACGACATCATCTTTATAGGGCACTATCAAGCCAAAAACAGTGACTGACAGCAAAGCTGCAATGTGAAATCAACAGTGATCTGTCAGCTTTCACTGACTGTCATAACAGGATTCTCCTTGACTGTATCAAGAGCTTGACCAAGCCATTGTTGTTAACTCTGAAGAGTGTCATTGCAGGGGAGAAGTGTCTGCATCTCCTGTCAGATCCCCTTTGCAAAGCAGTGTACTGACACAACTCAGTACTACTGTAACATTTCATTTCCTCACCCTGCCTTCACATCTTCCTTCTCACAGAGTTCCAGAAATACCAAATAAATCAAAGGTATAAGAATTTATGGAACCCAAAGCAGCACTGATTTTTGGAATGACTTCATGATTGTATATGGGTACTAATAAAAGGCAAAGGTTCCCTGAAGCTGCAGGCTATAAAGTGTAGTGGAGCAATATGATTAAGACAGAGTTAAGCTGTATTAAACTTTGAAGTAAAAGACACTCCATAGTGACATGTTAATAGATCCCGGGAAAGATTTGTTAATGGACTAAAAATTGAGAAGCTATTTGCAGGCAGTATTTAGGACAAAGAAAATCATTATTTCTTTACAGTTGAGCTTCCCTTATGAATGAGCAGGACAAGGCAAGAGTGACGGGTACAGGCAGGGATGCATGGCTCAGGCATTCAGCTGGGGCCGCACTGCATGCTACCACTTTACCTGCCAAACACTAACAGCCTGGCACCAGGCACTCCTGGCCTGGCATGAGACTATGTTGCTGAGAGACAAAGACCTTTGGTACGTCCCCTTAAGGACTTTACAGTTGGACAAGAAGGGCATGTAGCATACATAATTTGGACACTGACCTCTGTTGAAGAGAGAGAAATTTTACTCACTTGATTTTCTTGTTGTGGGTCTGCAAAGGTGCTTTGGCATGTGATGATTTCCTGAAAACTCTGAACCACAGAGTGTTTCTGAGTTAGGACTTCTTTGCAATTAAAAGACACTGAAGTCAGGCAGTAGCTAAATATGAAATGTCTTCAAGGTCTGAACTTCGTAAGGACACAGAGTCCAGCAAAAGAATTTTGTCTGGCTGGTATGAGATACTAAAAATTACCCTTATTGCCACCTGAAAGCATTTGTGATAGGGAAGAAATTAGTACTAAAAAGTGCACCTTGGCCTGGCATAATTCCTTTCCAAGCTGACATACTGGCAGCAACAAAAATAACCATCACCTGGAGCGTGCTGCCTCTGAAAGGCAGAAACCACCAGAACAAAGAACACTGTCTCCTCTTGATCACAAAAGGCTGATTTATTCTTGCTGCATTATTATAAAAGGTATCATATATTTTGTAACATGCCAGAAATAGTGGGGGGCTTTTATTTGTTCCATCCTATATCTCTGGCTCAACTTTATTTTCAAATCAGACATTTTCAGTTTCTCTCAATATTAAATAAAAACACAGCAGAAGAAAATAAATCAAGCACCTTCAAATTAGTTCATCATCTCCTCTGCGAGTGGTCAGCATTGCATCAGCTGTCAAGCATTTCTAAAGCCAACTTTTATGCCTTGGCACTGAATTCCATGAATAAAATTTCTGTGATAATACCAGTGGTAAGAAATTAAAACCTCCTGGATGCTTTCTAGCATCCACATGCAGAGTCCTAGAGCCTGTCAGGCACTGCAGCCTGGCAAGATGCTAACAAATACAGAGCCTGGATGAGGCTTTGCTTGTCCGTGGTGAAGCCTAGGCTCCTCTCAAGCCCTGGTGGCAAAGTGTTGGAGCCCAAAGCAATGCCAGATCCTCTCAGGTGATTGCAGCAAGTATCTGACCAGAAGTTCAGAAACAGCACTGAGGGGCTGAGGTAGAAGCAGTTTGTTTTAGTCCCTGAAGTTCAGCAGTCACAGCCTGGAAAGAGTGGGGAAAGATGTGCCAGCTCTACAGGGAGAGAAAGAGAAAGCGGGAGAAACTTCCAGAACACAAGGGCAACACCACAGCTGTGGGAGTGAGGAGGTGGGCACAGGATAACGAGGCTACAGCTGTGTGGTGATGCGGTTCAGCTGTGTGTGGAGCTCACTGAGGGGATATAACTGAGAGAGATGGGCTGATTGCCCTTTGGTACTGGAGATCCCATCAGAGTGAGGGTGTGTGTTTGGCAATATTAAGGTAGGATAGCATTTGTATGGTTTTTCTACTAATATTCCAGAATGCATGCAAGCTGAGCTAGGAAGGCCTGTGGAAAGATATGGGAGGGGTGTTTTTGTGTGAGATTAAGAGTTTATTGGAATTCTTTTTTTCTCTTCTGTCTTTTTTTGCAATTGTGTCAGCAGTCAGCACCTCTAGGAAGAGATCTGTAGGGAGGAAGTTTCTGTCCTAAGAAGTTAAGAATGTGTGTAGGGAAAGCAGACCTTGGATTGGAGGCCATGGGGTGCGGCTGTGAGGTGTTCCCTGCTGTGCTGGACAGGGCGGCTGGGCCATGTGAGGCAGCACTGGGCTGCCATGCTTATGGAGATGGTTGTTTTCTGTAGCAAAGTGAGGAAACAAATGTTTTCAATACAGGAAGAAATATCCTGTTTAAAAAAAAAAAAAGTGAGTTTACTTCCTTAAATTACACAGTTCTATTTTACTTCTAATGATTCAAGTGTATGCTATATGCTTTTATTACATGAGATGGAACCACTCTAGAGCTTTTTGTTTGTTTGTTGGAATCTGCAGGATATGTTTTTAGTTAACTTTAATAACTACCAAGCATTTTCTTTTCTCTCTTGTTTTCACTGAGGGAATATCACTTTGCTCCTTGTGGAAGAAGGGGGGAGTAACATAACTTTTTAATGTACCTGTATAAATTTAAGTGAGAACTTCCTAAAAATAGTAGTTCCTGTTAGCTGGGTAAATCACGATATTCTGTATTTATCATTTATTTTTATTTTTTTAAAGGTGTGATAGAGAGAAAAGCTATTTAGCAAATCAAGAACAAAAATAAGATCTATGTTTGAAGAGCTGCAGGGAGTTAGAAGAAAATTGGCTCTTGTGATGAAGCATTATTCAGTCCATCACACATGTGAGCTCCAATTTTGCCCCTGAGGTGAAAAAAGTGAACTTGTTTTCCCTTCTATATAACCTTGGACTCTGCAGGATTTTTCACTGTGTGTTTTGCTATACCACTTCACAGTGCCCCTGACACAAGTAATGATTTTGTATATGCAAGCCTAGAGGGATGAATACACATTTATTTGCAGAGTTAGGCAGGCAATTGTAGAAGAGGCAAGATGGTGCTGTTATTCCATCTTTTGTTCTGGATCTCCTCCATTTTCATTGCTCCTGAAGCCATGCTTAATATATTAGGGAGTCATCACTGCCTCTGCCTTACCCCAGCATCACCTGTGTTTCAGGGCTCTCTGTGGTTGGGCTTGCCTCATGCTGCTTAGCACTGCTCTGAAAGTAGAGTGAGTCAGCTGTTAAATTAAAAATTGAAAGACCAAGTTGAGTCCAGTTGTTTGAATGGGTGTATTGCTATAAATCATTAATCAATATATCCCGGGATACCGGAAAGTGTGCGCAGTGGGTCCCTTCTTGGGCAGAACTTCAGCAAATTGTAGTTGCAATGTCCTGGAAATAACGTGTTCTTCTGGAGGGTGTGTAGAGTTAAAGGAGGGGGGAAATATTGTAACAGCATCTCCTCAGTATTTCCTTTCTTTCACGTACAGCTTATTATTACCTCTAGTGTCACTGTGATGCACGAGAGTGACTAAGAGTGATGCTGATTGTGTGCTGTAGAGGATGGAGCATGAATTTTCCTCTTTGACTTTCCAGCCCTTCTTTCTTGGTACAGAGCAAGATTATTTTCTTCTTCCTGTTCTTCAGAGAGCTCTAGGAATACTAACTGCACTCTTGTTTTACTGCGTTTTGCTGAGCACAGGGCTGCAAAATTCAGTTGGCACTTGTACAGAGATTCATATGGAAAACTATCCTGGCTTTTTCTTCTTAACTCTCTATATAACCATCCATTTTATACTTTGAGGTATATATTATATACTTGTATATATTATTATTTAATGTAAAAAATATTGCTGTGTATAGCTCCATAGTTTAGACTGATGAGTAAAGACATGTGTAGCTTGAAGACAGAGAGTAAATCTTGTCAAGGTTTTAGCACTTCCTCCTGTAGAAGGAGGAGTAGGATAAGGTTTAGATAGAAGGAAAAATAATTTGAACAGTATTCTAAGCAAAAAGAAAAAAAAAAAAGAGCCAGGAGGAAATTATATGTATTTCAGAGACACAGAAAGGAGAAAGAAGCCTGGCA